CACAACATTCCTTCTCTACTCTGACCCGAACCCTCCTCCCCCTCACCCCCCCACCGCCACGTCGTCGCCATCGCCGTCTCTGTTTCTCTCACTGCTTTCATCATCATCGCCTCCGCCTCCGCGTTGCTGTACTATCGTCGACGCCGGAAGCTTGACCCCACCATATCTGACGATAAGGCTTCCAGAACCGACAGCCTCCGCCTGTTCCCGCCAAACACGGCCACCTCCGATGCAGTTCACAAGCAACGTAGTACGCCTAATACCAGCACCGAATTCCTCTACCTCGGAACCTTAGTCAATGCCCGAGGAACTGACGAAGAAAACGCCCCGAATACGAGCAATGCGGGCTTGACGTTCGGGGTGTCGAGCTTGTCCGGCTCGCCACCGTATCAGAAACTTGGATCACCGGAGCTGAAGCCGCTTCCACCACTTCCCAAGCACAATTTCAGACGGAGCTTTAAGAATTCCCAACTGGGTTCTGACGACGACGACGAAGAGGAGTTCTTTTCTCCCAGAGGGTCTTCCGCGAGTCCCAAAAATGGTAACGGGTTAGCAAAAACCTCGGACAGAGTGTTTAAGGCCGTAGAAGGCGAAAACTTTGGAAGCAGAAGCTTCAATTCAAGAACAGCATCGTACCCATGTTCGAAAACTGCTTCTCCAACAAGTTCTGGGTCTCATACGGTCTCACCGACGTTGAATTTGAGTCCCAGAAGCTTGAAATCAAAGTCGCCGGATTCGGTAATCAATTTCGCCGCTCCGTCTCGGCCTCCTCCGGTACCGATGTCATTGTCCCCATCATTGTCTTCGTCGTCTTCATCATCGGAGAGAGGTTTGGGTTCGGTTTCAGCGAATAGCCAGAACTCACCTTCAAAAAATTCGGACTTTTTGGGGCTGAAGAACCAGCCTCAGGTGAAAAATAAGAGTTTCGTTCCGATAAGATTGCCACCACCGCCTCCGCCTCTACCACCGCCGAGGTTCTGGGAAATTACGGCCGGTCCGAGGCCGAACTCAGGGCCACCGGCTCTTGTCATGCCTTCCAGGCCTCGTGTGTTTCAGAATTCGGGACCGGTTTTGGGTGGTGAAGGATCACAGAGCGATGCGATTGTAGAAAAGAACGAGGAGACTCCCAAGCCCAAACTGAAACCTTTGCATTGGGATAAAGTTAGGGCCAGCTCAGACCGCGCCATGGTGTGGGATCAGTTGAAGTCAAGCTCTTTTCAGTAAGACAATAACCAAACTCCTCGCTTTTCTTTTTTGGGTGTTAAAAGTGTGATCTTTAACCTTTTGTTATAGAGTGGATGTTTCGTTGAGCTTGCCTTTTATTAGTGAATTGTGTCGGTGTTTTTTTGGTTACTTAAGTTTGTAGAATCTTGTTTTGGGTGGCAGGTTGAATGAGGAAATGATTGAGACGCTGTTTATGGTAAATAATTCGAGTTTGGCACCAAATGATAATGTTCGGCGACAGATTCTGCCCTCTTTGAACCAGGAGAACCGAGTGCTTGATCCAAAGAAGTCCCAGAATATTGCAATTTTGTTAAGGGCGCTTAATGTCACCATTGATGAAGTCTGCGAAGCCCTTGTGGAAGGTTAATTTGAAGTTTCTACAAATCTTTTTGCTGCATGATGCGAATTATATTCAATGCTTGCCTTACTAAATCTAATTGCTTCTGGATTGCAAGTTGTCCAATTTCATCAAATGTCTTTGCATTTTTGTGAACTTTCCTAAATTTGCAAGCAGGAAATTCAGATGCACTTGGGACAGAACTTCTTGAAAGTCTATTAAAGATGGCTCCAACCAAAGAGGAGGAACGCAAACTCAGAGAGTTCAAAGATGAATCACCATTTAAGCTTGGCCCAGCTGAGAAGTTTCTGAAAGCAGTGCTTGATATACCTTTCGCATTTAAGAGGGTGGATGCAATGCTCTACATTGCCAGTTTTGATTCAGAAGTAGATTATCTTAAAAGGTCTTTTGAAACTCTGGAGGTAAATCTTTGTGTTTTCTTTTATATATTTGTTTTGTTATGTGCATTCATAATAAAGGAACCTATCATTTAATTTCTATTTTGTTCGGATTCATCAAATATCTCATCGGAGCTAATAAACATGTCTTTTAAATTTCAAACCTTCGTGTCACTTTTGATGATGGTCAGAGAGACCTTTGATTATGTCTCATGAGCTTTTATTCAAGTCAAAAAGTTGAACAGTGAAAAAAAAGGAATATGTCTCGATACTTTTTCGTTTAGTTTAAATTTTCTTGTGTAAAGCTCCTATGTTATGAAAAAATGTATGCTGCTTGTTACTGCTGTTCGGGATATTAAAATCTTTGTCAATGTCTTCTTGTTCTTGGTATCTATCTGATTACCCTGGCTTTAAGAACTTGGTGATTGTTTTTTTGTGAGCTTTCTACTTCAATTAAATTATATGTAATGGAAATATGAGTTTTTATGCATTATGTGGTGACATTAATTGTTGTTTTAATTATAATCCATTGTACTGAACTGAACTCTCTTACTGTCGCCTCAAGTAATGTCAATTTCCTATTGCCTGAAGGAAAACGATGTAGTTTTCCTGGCAATTCATATCCACCTATGCTTCTCAACTTGGCCTGATTTTGTTGGCAATTCATATCCACTGCTGACATTACTTCCTTTCTACAGGCTGCTTGTGAAGAACTGAGGAACAGCAGAATGTTCCTGAAGCTTCTTGAAGCGGTGCTCAAAACTGGGAATCGCATGAATGTTGGCACCAACCGTGGCGATGCCCATGCCTTCAAGCTTGACACACTTCTCAAACTTGTAGATATAAAGGGAGCTGATGGGAAAACCACTCTACTGCATTTTGTTGTGCAGGAAATAACCAGAGCTGAAGGTTTTCGTCTCTCTGGCATGAATCAGAATCAAACAGCTGAGGAAATTCAACAATCTTCATCTTCTTTTCGAGATGATGTTGAATTTAGGAAGCGTGGCCTGCAAGTTGTTTCAGGATTGAGTGGGGAGCTCACCAGTGTAAAGAAGGCTGCTGCTATGGATTCAGAAGTACTGAGCAAAGAAGTTGAAAAAATTGCTGGAGGAGTTAAACAAATAGCAGAAGTTATAAAATTAATTGAAGAAAGTGCATTGAAGGATAGTAGCCACAAGTTCTGTGAGTCCATGAGTGGGTTCTTAAAGAAGGCAGCGGAAGAGATTGTAAGGATTCAAGCTCAAGAGAAACTCGCATTCTCTTTGGTAAAGGAATTAACAGAATATTTCCATGGGAACTCAGTGAAGGAAGAAGCTCATCCGTTCCGAATTTTCATGGTGGTGAGAGATTTTCTTTCTGTTCTAGATCAGGCATGCAAGGTAGTCGGCAAAGTTAATGAAAGAACTATAGTTGGGTCAGCCCGTCAATTTCCAATGCCTGCCAATCCAACCCATCCGCCAGTTTTTCCTGGATTCAATGCAAAGCAGCAGCAGCATTATGGTTCCTCCTCAGATGAAGAAACCTCGCCATCTTAGTGTTTGATTTTATGCTGTGTTGATGGGAAAGGATGAGCATTTATCTGGGGCTGGAGCTTTTTGGCTGAATCTTACAAGTTGATCTCGTCTTTTTGGGTTGAGCTGAGCACCCTTCCTCTACTTACATATTTATATACACACACAAGATTTTGGAATTGTTTATCTTGTGTAATATATATATATAGAGGGGAATTATATCATCCGTATCAGAAGATAATAAAGTTGTAGTGGCACAATTTTATTTTGTTTTGATCTAATGTAAATTTGTTAGTTGGATTTAAAGCTTGTGATTCAGTAATTATTCCCAACTCTCTCTCTCGCTCTCTCGCTCTTACTTTTGACTTGAAATATTGGAAAGGCCAACTTTCCCTTCCCACAGTATATATCATGCAGCCAGGCAAGGCACAGGACAGGGATAAAGCGATTGTCAATGGAAAATTCATACCATCGAACCCTTTTAATTAGGTAGCTGCTTCCTCTCCTACAACGGATAGATGCCGATGCTCTTATTTGGGTTGAGTGATGTAATAAATGAATGAATGCTCTAAGGGGATGCCTTATAGAAAGAAAGCATTCAATAGCGTAGCAGTAGATATGGAGGCCAGTAACTCAAACCCTGTTTAGCAATAATTATTGAATAATGCTACTCTTACCACATTTGTATACCATCTTATGTAATAATTATTGAATAATGCTACTCTTACCACATTTGTATACCATCTTATGTAATAATTATTGAATAATGCTACTCTTACCACATTTGTATACCATTTTATGTGGCAACTGAGGTGGACAACCACATCAATTAAAATTATTTGATATTTTCTTTTATTTTATGATTTATTCAAGTATTTGTTTTTCTAATTGCCTTAATTAAAATACACTTCATTGATTTAATTGATGTGACATATAATATGGATATGCCACATCATGTAGTATAGAAATGTGGGATAAAAATATGGTAAGTGTAGCATTCCTCATAATTATTACATCACTTGATGTGATAGCCCATTTATTTATTTATTGGAAGGCTCTATTTATAGAAACAAATAAAACTGGATGGAGCTACAAGGTTTTCAAAATATACAAAATTTGCCAAACAATTTGTTGCCCTCCCCAAGTATACACAAGAATGACATTGCTTTTGAACCCCGCCCAAAAAGAAAAAAAGACATTACTTGATTACAGTCTAGAGCTGTTTGATTTTCACTGATGCTTGCCTTGCCTCCTTGCACGTTCACGATGCAACAAACTGGGATTTCTCTTCAGCATCCATACGTTCAATCACCCGGCGTGCTTCCTCTACTGTAGCAGGAACAACATTCCGAATCCGGATCCCATCTTTCATGGCTTCAGGAGGGGCAGAGAATGTGAAATAGAATTTGTTTGATACCTGTTCAAATACATATGTTATATATCAGACATGAACCTATCTACATATTCCCCAGACCCCCAAGCATTTGTAGAGCAGAAATAAGGATTTCATTTGAAGATCATATTTGACACAGATTTTCTCAAAACTAAACCCACTCATTCCTTTACACTTGTTTTTCTATAGCCTTCTTGATTATATTATCTTCCTGGGTTTGCTGGTTTGCTAAGGTATTTCGGTGACAATGAATAGATTCATTTCACATGCCTTGTGCAAAAGCTACCTTCAGAATGTTTTTGTTAAGTCACGTGCTCACCTCACTGGACCTAAGCTCAGGCTGTGTCACATGAGCAACGACTTCCACGTTTATCAGAGGTTCAGCTGGGTTCCCAAGTTCTGTATAGAGAACACACGACTTCAAACGTAGGAAGTTTCCTACATCCACCTGCATCAGCAAAATAAATTTGTGGTTAATTAATCCCCCCAACATGTACCAACATTTGATGAAATTTTGTATTCATTTCTGCCTGATAATGCAAGTTGGGGAAGTGACAACTTTTTCTGTTCAAAGACTGAGTTCTTTACTTGAATGGAGTTGCATAAACTTTTTCTTTTTCAAGCAAACCTAGAAAAAATTATACTGTATTTAACCTCTTAGGGAATTATAGCATAAATTCGGAGCTGCCAAAAGTTACTAGGCGCTCACACCTTTATTTCAGTTCACTTGCATGCTCAAACAATCTTTGAAGACAAAAGATGCAATATAATGGAGGGCAGCCATCAAAGGTGCTATTTATCTCGTAATATCTCTCTTGCCTAAAAACTGACACTTCGAAATGAGTGGTCTATCAGTTCCGTTTTAGTCCAAGATGCTATTTTGTAAATGACATTCTCTTGTCAAGCCATGATCACATACAAAGAGAAAATAACAAAGAGTGCAGACCAACTAGTGCTCATGTTTGCTCATAGTACAATCAATAAGATGTGATAGTTTTCAATCTTAAACAAGTATGTGTATATATGTATTTATAGTCCGTCTTATGCTTCAATAATACTTATGCAGCATGCCATGTCTCTACACACACAAAGAGAACTGAAAAACGTTCATAGTAGCCAGTTCAACAGATTTTTATAGGCAAAAGGCTCAGTTACTTACAGGTCTAACAAAATCAACATGATCAACTTCTAGAAAGTGTGGTGCTACACCAGCAAATGCATACGTTGTTGAGAAGGCCAGTTCAAATGCTCTTCGCATTAAAAATCCTCCAAAGATCCGACCATGGATGTTCCTTTGCTGTGGCTGGCAAATAAAGGAGTTCTCCAGGCACGTATCCCTAATAAGAATGCTATCTCGGTCTGCCAGTGCTGGCATGTCGCAGAAAACTCGACCTTCGGCTAACAAGGCATTGAATCTGTTTGCGTCTTGGTTTTCAATATCTGTTTTATGTGCTCCTCTCTTATTTTTCCTCATTTTGTTCCTCTTATCTGCCTCTTCCCAAAGCAATTTTTCCTTTTCAGTCTCAGGTGAGATTTGGTTAACCGGAGCAGATTTTCCAGTCTCAGAATCACGGGCCACAAATGTGAAGTTTGCTATAAGAGCAATGGACTCTGATGGGTGTGGGGTTCCTACAAGTCAAGTTTCCATAGTCAGCACTCGGCACAACAACAAATTAAAACTAAAATCATGATCCTTAGATCTTATGAGAATCATATTTGTTATATATTCTTCAGTACCATGCATGGATTGAGTGACTTCCAGTTGAATCTCCATGGATGATTTCCCCACCCATGCAACAGCACCACCTAGATTCAAATCAGTGTCAACACGGATAGGTTTTTTCAGAACCATCTTGTCAACAGAAGCAGTCACCAATAGTAGAGGCCTCGTTGCGCCATCTTCATTGCAGCAGTGCTAGTCAGCAGGTGAATGAGTGAAGTTAAAAAACTATGATTTTCAATGAAGTGGCAACAGACAACACTCAAAAGGTTATGGAATCCCAAACCAACCTCTAATTCAAGGAAATCCCTCTATGCAAAATGCTAATTAGAAGTTAGAACCCAGTTAGGGAAAAAAAAATTTGTTAGCAGCTTTTTCTACCAATCCAAATTCCAAACAACAAAATTCAAACAAATACATACTCAATTGCAGTTATGTAAAAACACGAAACAGAGCTTATATTAGATGCCTCAAGTTAATACCTTGTATGCAATGGTTCCGGCAAGAGCATCGAGATCCTCAACCAACTTCCCCATCCTGATCTCATTCCAAGGGTTCCTGTACTGCTCTCTGAGTTTATAATCAGATGAAAACTTGTAGAGAATACTAGTCCGGCTCTGCGCCGGAGTTCTCGCCACCAATTCACTCTGTGAAGGAGCGTCAATTGGCGTGTCCCCGAGTTTCTCATACATTTTTGATCTTGCTTCCCAGAGAGCATTTGTTACAGGTGAATGGTACATTCCGGGCCATAAACTGATCGGTTTTCGGATTGAAGAGCCTGCATCAATTGGCTGTGAACTATCATATGGTGAAGTTACGGCGGAAACAGCTGGGATTGACTC